CTTTTGACTGGAATGTACTTTAATAATTCCCAGGATAACCTGAAATGTTTCCCTTGGAAGAGACATATGTGGGTTTCCATGAAATAGTGAACCCTAAAACCTGTTTTAGATAGATGTAAGGATGGAAACAAACTGTCCCACAGTATCACATATCTATTATACTTAACAATTTGTATGTCATTTGTGTTTCACATATCAGTCCTTTCAATAACATCACACACAGTACCCAGTATAAATCTTATCTTGTTCTCCAGATAGGTTTTCTAGATTGGGTTTAATAACTGTTAAGAGTGGGCGACTTGAAGATGTGTGTTTTGGAGTTTGCATCGCACATGTGCATATATATATATATATATATATATATATATATATATATATATATATATATATATATATATATATATATATATATATATATATGCACATATGAGGCAAAGGCGGAGAAGAGGAAAGGTTGCAGCTGGATTGCAGTTAGAGAGGGTCATCACTAGTCATGCATATTTTGGTCTGCAGACTGTCCTCAAGAGCTCCACCTAATAATATTAATAATATTTGAACTTTATTGACCTCACATTGGAGAAATTACCTCTGCATTTTACCCATCCCCTTGGGGAGCAGTGGGCTGCCATTGAGGGGCGCCGGGGAGTAATCGAGGATTCAGAGACCCAGAATGGCAGTCTGTGGGGCTCAAACTCAGAACCTCAGGATTCCAAGCTCTATGCCCTAACCACTACACCGCCACTTCCCCCACCTGGTGATAACTGTTGCTTATATTTCCTTTAAATGATAAAAATCCCCTCTTCAGAATTTTGAAAAACATATTTAATTTAGACTAATGTATTGTTTTTAATAGTGGCATTTAACCAATTTACAAAGACAAAACAAATGTCAAAACAAATCATATTGACCCACTAGCAGTGAAATGAGGGTGAAAAATTTGATGAGATTATGTTTAAGCTCATAAGATGCATGCATGTGCTTCGTAACAGTTCTACTATTCATGGAAATAAGTTTGTTCAAAGCCCCAGCAGTGGAAATACCTGTTCCTTATTGCCAGGGAACAGTTCTCCTCCTGGATGAGCATTTAGCAACAGTAGACATTTGCTTGCATAGTGCTGTTGGCTTTGCAGTAATCCCCCACACCAAGCATGCATTCAGCAAAGGTGGAGAAGAAAACCTCCTTCTTAACAGGAACAAACCTCCAGCAGAACCAGGCTCAGTGCAAACCACCTTCTGTCGTGGAAGATGGGGGGGTTTAAGGAGACAGAAGCAAACATACAAAAAGAACATAGAAACACTGATACTTTCTTTGCTAGAAAAGGTATGAATAAACTAGTTCCATTGTGTCTCTGTCTGAGAAAGACACAGTTAAAACTTACATCGCATACATACATCTTTGCAGATATACTAAAACACACAGGATTCTAACCAAGACTAATTCTATTCTCTGTTGGCCCAAGCCCTACAGAGTACTACATACAGTATGACATACAGCAGTAGCCATTCAAAATTTTCCCACCTTACTTGATGGATCCTTGGCTGGTCCCCTACAATTCCTTTTTAAACATCAATCTTTGTACTAAAATATTCTTTCATGATTTTTGGATATGGAGTCAGCGTAAAAAAACTGCACGCACAGGAGAAGGAGGCGGTCACTCCAGCGGCTGGAAGTTGGAGGGGAGTGAGCTGCCTTTCGACTGGTGTTTGACTGGGAAGGGCCATTTTGAAGGGTTGATACCGTATTGCTCACTAAAAAAAATTACTTCCTGAGTAAATCAGTTGCTCATTGTTATTAAAACAAAGATTGAAATGTATTTAGCATCCAAAATCTTTGAATATCCACTCTAAACCCTTTCTCCTTCTGTCCCTCCCATATGCTTACCCACATCCACCCTAAACCCCAGCCATCCACACCTACAATCTCCCTCACATCCAGCCCCATATTAATCTACTGTACATTTGTTACCATCCTATTTAGAAGTTCACAACAAATTGTAAAGATGGTCAAAGAAAAAAGAAAGAGAGCAGATACTGTCAGCCACAGTCAAATCTAGGCTCATATGTCTAGGAGAGATACAGGACTGAGCACTGTAAAAAGGCTCAGTTTTATGATCAATAATGGGTTTCACTGACTGCAGCAGCCCAGTTTTTTTCTCCGTCCAGGTTGGTGTCACAGCTAAACAGAGGGTCAGGACAAATAAAACTACTATGACAAGACAAGTCAGAGAATACAGAAAGTTAGCAGTTACACTCTCAAATACTTTTTGCCTTTTAAAAACACTTTATTTACACAATTCAAACAATAGAATGAAATATTGATATAAAGCAAGTGTCAGCTAAAAATCATTAAATCAGGAGCTTGTTAAATTGTAGTTGTCCTTCATCTGACACAGTACATAAAATGTTGTTAAAATCCCACAAGTGAATAAAATCCTCCATGTTCTGTGTGGCTCTGAAATATTGCAGAACTGCAGAGTAAAAGAAGAAGTATTCTGCCTAAGAGATGGCTGAAAACAAAGGTAATTCACTATGCCCCTGTTTACAAAATAAACTATTCATGATGGCTGTAAATATTTTCATTCATAAAAAAATCATGAACAGTCATAATGTGGAAACTACACCTTCCTAAGTAAGTATTCCTTTTATAAGTTGAAATGCTAGGAACTAACATACCAAATTAGATTCACTGGAATTTCATGCTGCTATATTCTAAAATATTTTTTTCTCATACATCAAAGAAAGATGTTGAGATCTCAAAGCAGTGGATGATTTACTGATAAAAGTAGACCTTCAAAAAGCTATTGATAAATTTTTGTTCCTTAAAAATTTGCTAGTTTACTCTCAATCTGTCTGAATCTGTCAAGCAATAGCCCAGCCTTGCCAGTTTAATGGCCTGGTTCTCCATCTACATATTTCTTTTTTTGCCCCTTTTCTGGCAATGCATCCTCAGAGCAAAATATAAAAAGGATTTTGGATGGGTAAAGCAAATTGCTCTCTTGACAGATTCAGCAGAAAATATCTCTAAAAAGTAATCTTAGATATAGACTTTATGCTTATTGTGCTAAAAAGGAAATGAAAGAACAGTTCTAGGATATATCAGATCTTGATTTCTGGACCCTTGACTTTGGCAACCAGAGTTATGCAACAATGGTAAGGTAATTTAAACACATTTTTGAAAAACTAAAATAAAAAAAATAAATCCAGCTCATACTTTAGATTTTTTTTTTTTGAAAGAAAAGCAATCATAGGTTTGCAGGAAATTAAAGATATATGGTGACAATCCAGACATAAAGACGAACTGCACATCCTAGCTGAAGCCTGTTTCAGGTATAAATACCCGGTTTATATGGAGTACGAGGCAACAATTTGTATCTGATTCTGTGAGGCAGATATTATGGTGGAGGGAGTTTCATTGTGAATTTTGATATTCCACAATACAGCACAAGGAAAATGCAGTAAGTTTTACCTCAGACAGTAGGAAGAAAATAAAGCAGTCTAAACTTAAGACGTCCTAACACCACTAGTGAAAAGAGAAAGAATGGTTAGATGGAGGAAGTGAAAGTGGCCGGAAAAGCTGGAGGCCAAAATTGCAGAAATACAGCTGAGATAAGTCCAGAATATAGAGAGCAGAATCCTGGTGCTTTCTTTAACTTTGGCTGACGTGTGTTGGTGTGTTTGTGTGTGGGTGGGTGTGTTTCTGTGCTGCAGTGAAGCCTGGGGCTGTACCCGCTGAGAACAGTTAGACTGGGAATCAGACTGCTTGCTGGAAGCAGATCAGCAAAGACTGCTAGAGATATACTCATACACAAGCCTCAGAGAACATGCATCATACTGCAGTATATCTGCTGGAGATACAGTCATACACAAGCCTCAGAGGACATGCATCATCTTGCAGTAGCACTTAACAGGAAGCATGGTAATAAGTTCACAGTGTTCAACAATTGTACACATGTGTGGCATACAGAGCCATCAGTAGGTTAAAATATCCACCCCATAATCAAAAACATGTTAAATCTGATATAAATGTACCACTGTTTATGTTCAAATTGTGATTGATTTATTTTCTAATAAGTACAGGTGATTTTGTTATTTCGAAATTAGTTATTGAACAGAAGTCACTGTCGACCCCTGACCAGCAGAGGGCGCGTTCGCCACACTGTGTGTTCTCGGTCATTCAGAGAATGAGGACACGTATAAACTGTGAAGCTGATATACGTGTGTGGCGAACTCTGATTCTAATATCAACATTTTTGGCTCTTTGCAGGTAAGAAGGGAGGGTGGAAACTGTGAGTTGATTTGCGAATATGTCCGATGTGAGTTAATGATCTCAGCTGATTTGTGGCGTTGTTGTTGATATTGTTCAGCCATCTGAAATAAGTTAGCTTATAGTTAGCATGGGTTGCTAGCTACCGTGAGTGAGCGCGAGGCTGGAGAGGAAACAATAACTCTCTGCTCGGGAGTAGTTTGTCAAGCTGAGTAAATAATCTAAAGTAAGGCATGATTGATCTAATTAACAGATATCTGAATCAGTTTACAATGTTTGTTAAATATGATTGGTTGACTGTATTTGAGAAAATATGCTATAGAAGGATAAACTTTTGTTTAATATTAGCTGAGAACATGATTTATTGTTTATATTTTGGTGCAGAAGTTTATGATTTTTCTGATTATAATAGATGGTAAGGATATGATTCATTGTTTATATTTTGTTGCAGAAGTTCATGATTTTTCTGTGTTTAGAAAATATGCAGAAGCTATGGTTTATTGTGAATATGTTGGTGGAGAAGTTCTAAATGACACTGTGTGTTCTCGGTCATTCAGAGAATGAGGACACGTATAAACTGTGAAGCTGATATACGTGTGTGGCGAACTCTGATTCTAATATCAACATTTTTGGCTCTTTGCAGAAGAAAAATAAAGCGGAATTTCAAATTAAATGTGTAGTGGAGACAGCTTCATTCAGTACCACGCTACATATTTTGGTAGCAGAGGGTGGTTGGTTCAGCCCAGGGCCTAATCGCATAGAAAGAAAGCCGGACCAATCAAAGCAGCATCATGGAGGAAGCAAGGGACGAGGTGAGCAGGAGATTGCTGACGCTGGGGGAGAAGGAGCTCATTCACCTATGTGAACATCTAAAGTGTAACGCACCTGTTGGGGGTTTTGCCAGCAAAACAAGACGCACCCTAATCAGGTTGGTGGAGAAGACATTAGATGAAATTGAAGAGGGTGAAGAGTCCACAGATTCATATCAGAAGTATCTCCAGCAATTACTGTCCGATCTTTCCTCTCTGAATCCAACACTGGAAGAAACTGAGGCTGAGACCGTAGTTCAGGAGAAAGGGGAGCTAGAGGAGTTGAAAATGCAGTACCAGAAATTACAGCAACAGATGGAAGAGGAAATTGGGGCGTTGGAGGAAAAAATGAAGCAGAGGATGCAAGCAGCAGGAGGACACACTGCATCGGTCCCCATTACTACAAAGGATGTAGACACAAAGTCTGCCATCACCACACCAACCAGGCTGCCTGAGGTCACGCTGAGGCGGGAGTTTCGGATAATGGGACAGATCGGTGAAGCGGGCCAGAAAGAAAAATTGTCCTACACCAGCCTCATAAACCAGATCGAGTCGGCACTACAGAAAGGACATGGAGAAGCAAAGATTATTGAAGCAGTCACACGTGCTGTGAGCCCAGGTCTTCATCTGCGGGAAATGTTGGAAATAAAGCGAGGACTGACATTACCCACCCTCAAAACCATACTTAAGGGGCATTACAAAGTGGATTCTTCCTCTGACCTGCTGCATCGTCTGATGAACATGACACAAGACCCAAGGGAGTCAGCACAGAATTTCTTATTCAGAGCAATAGAACTGAAAGAGAAGCTAATGAGAAAATTCAGCGATGATGATGCAAGCGAAGAAGGTGAGCAGTTCAGTCCTCAACTAATTCAAAGAAAATTTCTCCGCTCTATAGAGACTGGTCTTTACAGTGATGCAGTTAAGTTTCAACTCAAACCATATCTCAGCAACCGTACTGTCACAGATGAGGTGTTAATTGAACGGATCAATGAGGCAACAAACTTAGAACAAGAGAGACAACAAAAATTGAGGAAGACAGTTGTGAGCAAGTCCCCAAAAATCAGTGAAGTGCAGGCAGAAGTGCATCCATCAGAAACCTCAGAGACAGCAGTAGATAGTGTTACTCGTGAACAAGGGGGAAGAAGTAAGAAAAGTCAAGGACCCAAAACGGAGGTAGACTCATTAGAAGCGCTAAAGGCTGAGGTGCTAGAAATTAAGAAGTTGGTGTTACAGACAGTGGAGGCTACACAAGTTAGACTAACAGAGAGACCATTCACACCCGGCCGTACTCGGCTCAGAGGTTGTAGGGCATGTCAGGAAGCTCAGATGGGGGACGCCTGCAGACATTGCTTTAGGTGTGGGCAAGAGGGGCATCTGTCTAGAGGATGTCGACGGCCTAAGGAGCAGCAGGGAAACGAGAGGGGGCTGCCGAGCCGAGACCCCCGGTAGCCCATGAATCATCACGTCTCACCATACCGCAACCTGCCCTCCCCTATGCACCACCTCAAATCTCGTCAGTTAACTATCTTCCACCACGACGCAAGGAAAGACTCATCAAGTTAATTGCAAAGAGACACACTGTCCATTGCACATTAGATACAGTTCCAGTGGTAGCATTATGGGACTCAGGTGCTCAGGCAACCATCATTAATGACGAATGGAGAAAGCAACATTTACCACACAGCACAGTGCGACCTCTCAGTGAGCTGTTGGGCTCAGATATTGTATTGGGAGTGGCCGCCAACCAGACTGAGATCCCCTTCATGGGCTGGGTGGAAGCAGAATTTAGGCTAGGTAAGGACTCCACCCTGACCAAACCACTTCTAGTACCAATTCTAGTGTCAAGTGACCCCCATGTAGCAGTAGAGCCTATAATTGGCTATAATGTGATAGAGGAAATAACAGGGGAGAAGAATCAGACAACACAGACAGAGACCACTCATACTGTGAGTCAAGCTTTTCAAATAACGGTCAAGACGGCACAAGCAGTGCTACAGCTTATCCATGCCCCGTCATATGAAGAAGATATAGGGATTGTGCACACAGGAAATAGAACACTCACTTTAGGCGCTGAACAGGTCACCACAGTGTATGTTAACATCAATACTGGGGCTCAATATCATGGCCAAGACCTGCTGCTAGTTCCAAACGAAGATCTGACATTACCAGAGGGTGTAATGATAGAGGAGGGTCTAGTCAGAGCCCCGTGGAAAAGGTCAGGTTATGTACCAGTTCCCATTGCTAATACAAACAAACACAGTGTAACCCTGACCCAGCGCACCATTTTGGGTCACCTACAGACAGTGAAGACTGCCTATGCTGCCAGTATTGAGCAAATCAATAAAGGGGAGAAAGTAAAGCCAACATCACCAACAGCATCAGCACCAGGCAGTGACAATTCCCAGAAATCAAAACCGGCCTGGTGGGACCCTCCCGTCGACCTCAGTCACCTAAATGAGGAGCAAAGTAGGATCGCCAAACAGCTGCTGAGAGAGGAGTGTCATGCATTTGCATATGACGATGATGACATTGGCTCAATCCCCTCACTGAAACTCCACATCACACTGCATGACACGACCCCAGTAAGAAAAACTTACATGTCGGTTCCGAAGCCACTACACCAGGAGGTAAAAGAATATATCCAAGACTTATTGAATCGAGGTTGGATTACTCCTTCACGCTCTCCGTATGCCTCACCAGTCGTGTGTGTGCGGAAAAAGGATGGAACATTAAGACTTTGTTGTGATTACAGGGAGCTGAACAAAAAGTCAGTCCCTGATCGCCACCCTATACCCCGAATACAAGACATGCTTGATTCCCTCACTGGCAGCTCCTGGTTCTCTGTACTAGACCAGGGGAAGGCCTACCATCAGGGGTTCTTGGATGAGGAAAGCCAGCCCCTGACAGCTTTCATAACTCCCTGGGGCCTGTACCAGTGGATCCGAATCCCGTTCGGGTTGAGTGCAGCACCTGCAGAATTCCAGAGAAACATGGAAGACTGTTTGCGTGGCTTGAGAGATGTAATGTGTCAACCCTATCTTGATGACAATCTGGTCCATAGCTCAAGTTTTGAAGACCACATTGAGCACCTGAGAACTGTATTACGGAGATACCAGGAGCATGGGGTGAAGCTCAGTCCCCGTAAGTGTGAAGTGTTAAAGCGGAAGGTGAGATTTTTGGGGCGACTAGTATCTGGACAGGGGTACACTATGGACCCCTCTGAGGTTGCCCCAGTCCAAGCCCTAAAGGAGAAAGCACCCAAAACAGTGGGAGAACTGCGAAAAATGATGGGATTCCTTTCATACTACCGAACATACATCCCAAACTTCTCCAGAATAGCCCAGCCGCTCTACCAGCTGCTATCAACATCAGATCAAGAGAGTGGCAAGGTCAGGCCCAAAACCAGGAAGAAAGGTAACCTCCCACCTAACACTCCGATACAGTGGACAGTTAACCACCAAAACATATTGAACTCTCTCATAGATAAGCTGATAGAGCCTCCTCTGCTGGGTTACCCAGAGTTGACCCAACCATTCATCCTCCACACAGACGCCTCCCAGGAAGGATTAGGGGCTGTGTTATACCAGAGACAGAATGGCAAGATGGTAGTAATAGGCTATGGTTCCAGGACTCTAACCCCGCCTGAAAAGAACTACCACATGCACTCAGGGAAATTGGAGTTTTTGGCTCTAAAATGGGCCATATGTGAACGATTTCGTGATTACCTTTATCATGCCCCACACTTCGTAGTTTATACAGACAACAATCCATTAACTTACATTCTCTCAACAGCTAAGCTTAATGCGACAGGTCATAGGTGGGTGGGTGAGCTGTCTGAGTTTGACTTTTCGATAAAGTATAGGCCAGGAAAGAGTAACGCAGATGCGGATGGCCTATCCCGCATGCCATTAGACATAGATACGTTCATGACACAGTGTACAGAGGAGGTGGGTCAGGAAGTGTTCAGTGCAGCAGTGCAGGGACTCTGTGTGCAGGGAGACACTCCCCCAGTCTGGGTAGCTACCGTCCCAATAGAAGCACTAGATTTAGTAGGAGATCCGAGTGCACAGCCCCAGACTAGGTCTCTGACACCAGAACAGATTCGAGACAGTCAGGAAAAAGACCCTGTCATAGGCCCAGTCCTGCGTTACAAGAGAAACAATCAGCACCCGCCCAGGAGAGTTCTTAAAGCAGAACCAGCGGATGTCAGAGTATTAATGAGACAGTGGGCAAAGTTGTATGTAAATGAGGATGGAATTCTCTTTAGGAGAGTGGGAGATAAACATCAGCTTCTTCTACCAAAAGAACATCATCAAGTGGTATTTAATGAGCTTCACAGAGAAATGGGACATCTTGGGGTTGAGAGAACTGTAAACCTGATCCAAGATCGGTTCTACTGGGCTCGGATGTACTCCGACATAGAACACTTTGTCACCCAAGAGTGTGAGTGTCTCAAGGCAAAGCAACCTCACAAAACAACCAGGGCCCCCATGACAACCATTGTCACAACACGGCCAGGGGAGATGATATGCATTGACTTTCTGCACTTGGAGACATGCAAACAGGGGTTCGAGTACATTCTTATTGTGATAGATCATTTCACTGGTTTTGCCCAAGCCTATGCCACGAAAAATAAGTCTGCCAGAACTGTGGTCGACAAACTTTTCAATGATTTTTCCTTGCGTGTTGGATTTCTAGAGAGGATTCATCACGACATGGGAAGAGAGTTTAACAACCAATTAATGGATCAACTACAGAGGAGCTGTGATGTGCGTGGGTCCCATACAACATGTTACCATCCTCAAGGTAATGGGAAATGTGAGAGATTTAACAGGACTATCCTATCTATGCTTCGCACCCTCACAAGTAAACAAAAGGCAGACTGGAAAAGCTCATTGCCAAAACTGGTGCATGCCTACAACTGCACCCGCAGTGGGGTCACTGGGTTTTCCCCCTACTACCTACTGTATGGAAGGTCACCCCGTTTGCCAGTAGACCTGCTTTTCAATCTACAGCCAAGAGAAGCAAAAGAGACATATGCTGAATATGTACAGAACTGGCAAAAACGGATGCAACAAGCCTACGAGATCGCATCTAAAACAGCAGCTCGGGAAGCTCTACGAGGCAAGAAAGGTTATGACAAAAGAGCATATGGAGCCAACTTGCAACAGGGTGGACGAGTGCTTGTACGTAACCTGTCAGAGAGGGGTGGCCCTGGGAAACTGCGGGCCTACTGGGAACCGAAAGTGCATGTGGTGGTGAGAAGGAGGAGCAGTGACAGCCCAGTGTATGAAGTGGAGCCAGAGGGAGGAGGTAAGAGACGTGTGTTGCATCGAAACCTCCTACTCCCATGTGACAGTCTGCCCCTGGAAAAACGAGAACCAGGCCCTGCTAAACGACAAGAGAGGATACCAACATGGACAAAAAGAAGGAAACAGCAAATCCCCGAACCAGAGGAGGATTCGGACAGTGATGAAATTGAGCTGGTGTGTCGTTTCCAAGACGACCAGGAAGTAAGAAGGCAGAGAACTGTGGACTTGGATCCAGAGGCGGAGCCATTTACACCATCACACACCCTGCAAAATCGAGTGCCAGATCTGGAAGATGGAACGATGGCTCAGGAGGACGCAGAGACTGACAACAGAGGCATCGCAGCTGACGGAGGCAAGGTGAACGACACTACAGAGGCCAGGGAAAGTCTGCAAGAGTCGTCAGAGGAGGATGATCCTGACCCTCCACCAGTGAAAAGCTACCCGCAGCGACATCGGCACCGTCCCCAGATTCTGACCTACAATGCCTTGGGTGAGCCAACGTGGGTGAAAGCCGGTGCGGAGAGCCTGCCAGTCGTGAGTATGACTCCAGCCTGCAAACCACCAACCATGTGGCGTCCATGGACATCTCTGGATACTGAGGTAATGGGTTGAACTCACACAACCATGAATCTAGCTGCAAGAAAACTGACTCAAAAGGTAAAAGGACAATGGTGAAATTGGATGGAGTGAAGAGACGCTTCCAGGAGAATGTATTGAAGTAGTACTGTACAGATAGAGACGGGTAACAGACTAAAAGAACTGAGGCCGATATGAGTTCTGTTACATGAGAGTGTTGATCCAAATAGGATCTAAAGTACAGTAGCTGATGTTTACTGGTATTAGGGCTAAATTGTCCA